CAGTCTCTGAGCTGTCAGCACAGAGCCTGACATGGGGCTCGAACTCACAAACTGGGAGATCATGACCTGAACTGAAGTTGATGCTTAATCAACTGAGCCACCCAGGCGCCCCAAAATTTAAAAAAATTGCCAATTATTAGGATTAAGGACCACTGGGAAATACTGCTTTGGATTTCATTAAGTTTTCATAATATGATTATTTCTCTGTGAGGAATTTAATATTAGAAGACATTTCCTAATGCCTTGAATTATACAACAGACAACTTTAAACACTGTCATCACACATCCAGTGAGTCTGGATAAGGCAGTGATCCCAGGTAATGCTGATTATGTTGCTCTAGTCAACTCAACATTTACGCCAAAAAAAGAAAAAAGAAAACCCTCTGTGCGCAAGTTGGGTGAATTCATAGATACCTTTGTTAAGAGGAAAAGAAAAACACTAGGAATATTCCTAATTACCCCCCAAATAACTGAATAGAACCCTGAATGAAAACTTCCTCCTCCCCAGCGTAGTCTCTGACCCCAAGTGGCCATCCATTTGTTCATAACGTAACAGCTGCTACCTTCCCTGTACTGTCTAATATTCCCACATGGCAGGTCACCAACATTTTGTGATAGATTCAAGAATGTTAGGAAGGCACTGATATTCTCAAAAGTTTATTTCTATTGTTTCCTTTGTCAAGAATTCATTTCTTTTCCTATCACCTCTTACCAATTTATTGTAATGTTTGCTGTCTGTTATAGTTTCCTTTTCCAGTGTCTACATTTTAAATAGGAAAAAAATCCTCAATAATTTTAAGAAAATAACAAATCCTGCATTTGATTTTGCCCAGAGATCAAATATACAGCACATAGGAAATGTGTGATAATTTTTGTTGAACAAAACCAGTTTTAGTTGCAGAGAACTCTCAGGGCACACACACCTAGATGCCTGTGAGGGAGACAGGACACAGCTGGGCTATCTCTGACAGTACCTACAAAAACAATGATCAGGATTTAATTTTCTTCCTGAACACAGGAAAAAGACACTACTTTATGCATAGTTACTAACATATCCAAAATCCTAATAGGAGGTTCTTTTTTTTTTTTTTTT